GAGGGCGAGGGGGGCGCGGTGGACGGAGGGTGAGGGGGGTGAGGATGGCAAGGCATCCTTTTTGTGCACACGGGTTCCATAAGAGCCACATGAAAGGCCTGGCCTGGGGGTCAGAAGGTTCCAGCACTGGCCAGACACCCTAGAAGGTTCACAAATGACACGAGCTGAACCCTCTGTACCCTCCCCCAGAAGCAGTTCTATTATTATCCCCATTTTCTGGATGAGCAAACTGAGTGAGGCTCAGCAAAGAGTGAGCTGCTCAGACTCACCCACCGTCAACCCAACAGGATTCACGGCTGGAGTTAGGGTTTGACTCCACCAGCGGCTCCGTGGGAGAGAGACGGGCCATCTCCTCCTGGGCAATTTACAGCCTCTGGAAACCCCTGCAAAGGGTCAGCTATGAATTGGTTCTGACAGGCACACAGCATCATGGTCCAGGAGGGAGAGGTGGTAGTGACATCCACGTGGAGCCACCCTGCTGACTGAAGGCCACGGCCACTGCCGCGTGGGAATGCACCCGCTGCTCTGGGAAGACAAAGAGCCCTTTGCTCCATGGAGATTTACAGCCTCGGAAACCCACTGGAGGGTCAGGCAAGAGTCAGCTGTGACTGGACAGCGAGGAGAGAGAGAAAGACAGAGAAAGATCATGCAGCAGGCCACATCCAAGCGTGTGGCTTAACCGCCCTCTAGCCTCCACTGTCCATCATGTTTTAATGAGCACAGATAGAACCTTAAGGACAAAGGTGCACCCGACCACAGCGATTTCGACTGCTCCCTGTGCATCTGGAAGACAGACCGTGAATGAGGGAGACCAGAGAAGAGTGCATGCCTTTGAAGCCAGCTGGAGGAGTGTTCGAACCTGGTGACCTGACAGAACAAACGAGTCTGCCTTTGAGGACTTGCCAGCCACGACGGTGAAGCCTCGTCTCACACACCTTGGGCGCGTTGTCAGGAAGGGTCAGTCTTCTGAAAAGGCCATCTTGCTAGGCAAGAAAGAGGGTCAGAACCAGACAGGAAGGCCGGCAGCAAGGTGGGTCAACACAGCCGCTGCAGCGAGGGCTTGGTGAGCTGGGTGAACACCGTGGGGACGGCTCAGGATACAGCAGGGGTCGAGATCTGTGGTTCATGGCTTCACAATGGGCCATGGATGTTCTTAACAACAACGTAAGAGAAAGCCGAGGCTTCTGGCTGCTACCTGGTCTTCTTGCTCTCCCTGCCCTCTTGGCCTTGACCCCTGACAATCTGCACCCAAGACACGGGGTGTCTCCTGTTCCCTCAATCCCCCTACACACTTCTGTGTCTTCCCTCTGAGGCACCTCCTCTGTTCACGAGCCTCATCACGCATACCCATACTGGACGTGGCTCCATTCCCCCCTCATCTATTTATAGCCCACTGATCCTACTCACTCAGGTGGCTCTGTCCTGTCAAACTGGTACTGACTCATGGCTGAACCCTCCAGCAGCTTTTCAGAGGCTGTAAATCACGAAGGAAGAGATTGCCCATTATTACCCTGAGGAGCAGCTGGTGGATTTGAACCACATGCCTTTAAGGTTGCAACCCAGCTCCTTACCGACTGTGCCACCAGAGGTCCTTCCACATGCAGGAGTGATGAATTTGACTGCTACCAGTTAAGTACCTGAATATTCCGGTATTGCTTTATTGATTATGCAAAGGCATTTGACTCTGAACATCATAATAAATTAAGGCTAACGTTGAGAAGAATGGAAATCCCAGAACACTTACTTGTGCTCATGTAAAACTCTCACCTAGATTAAGAGGCAGTTGTCTGAACAGAGGAAGGAAACACTACATGATTTAAAACTAGGGAAAGATGGGCACCAGTGTTGTATCCTTTCTCTATACCTATTCAATCTGTACACTGAGCAAATCGTTTGAGAAGCTGGACTCTCTGAAGAAGAGCGTGGCATCAGGATCAGAGGAAAACTCAACAACCTACGTTATGCAAATGACACAACCTTGCTTGCTGAAAGTGAGGACTTGAAGGTCTTGCTGCAGAAGATCATAGACTACAGTCTTCAGGGGGGGATTACATCTCAACATCCATAAAGTGAAAATTCTCACCCCTGGGCCAATAGGCAACATCATGATAGATGGAGAAAAGATTGAAATTGTCAATGGCTTCATCTTACTTGGATTCATAATCAATACACTAGGTACCAGCAGTCAGGAGATCAGGAGACATATTGCACTGCAAAAGCCTGTAGTCAGGGAGCTCTCCAAATTGCTGAGGGGCAATGATGTCCATTTAAAGACTAAGGTGTGCCTTATTCAGTCTTTTCAATAATTCGCTATGCATCTGAGAGCTGGACAATGATTAAGAATGGCAGAAGAAGAATTGCTGTCTTTTGAATTATGGTGTTGGAGAAGAGTATTAAATATCCCATGGACTGCCAAAAGAACAAACAACTGTGCCTTGGAGAATATACACGTGAGTGCTCTTTGGAGGCAAAGATGATAAAGCTTCATCTCACATACTTTGGGGATGCTGTTAGGAGAGGTTATTCTTTGGAGAAAGACATCATGCTTGGAAAGGTGGAGGGCTGGGTAAGAGAGGAAGACCTTCAACCAGCTGGAGGGACACAGTGACGCAGCATTGGGCTCGCGTGTGTCAGAGACTGTGCAGATGGACGGATAGGACAGAGTTCAGCTCTGTTGTTCACAGGGTTGCTATGAGTTACACGGTACCTAACAACCATCTTTACTTTTGAGCTGTGTGTCTGGGGTCGAGTTGTTTAACCTTTTGATGCCTCCAGAGATAATAATTGGACTCAAACACCAAGACTGTGACGAACAGGGCAAGTATTTAGAATAGTTCTGGACCAGAAGGGACAAAAGGATTGTTCCCACAGCTGGTCTTGTGGCTGTGGAGTTGGCTTGACCTGAATCTACCCTCAGACTGTAAATTCTCGAAAGGAGCCCTGTTCCTCTTTTGTGACCCCACTTGCACATCGTGTCTGGTGCGTCTTAGGGGTGGAAGAAGCATGCCCTCGAGCAAGTCGTGTGGTTTACATACTGGTGGTCAGAGATGGTGACATGGCTCCTCCCAGGGTCAGGCTGTCCCCTGAAGCCAGGGAAGAAGTGGGCTGGGCGCTCGGGGAAGGGGGAGAGCCCTCACCTGAGACACGATGGTGGACGTGAAGCGGGTGGTGTTGTAGACCCAGCCATCCACGCACGGCTCCGTGTCGGCCTCGCTCCAGCTGGTGGCCGTGGCATTGAGGTCCAGGAGCTGCCACTGCGGGTGGCGGAAGCGGAGACACTGGTGGGGCTCCTGGTGGGGGCCTGGGGGGATGGAGACGGTCAGCAGGGCCTTGAGGGAGAGGTTTTGGGGAGTCATGGAGCTATTGTCCAGCAGAGGAGTCCAGCAGCGGTGGCTCGGGATGGCGGCTGAGAAGTTCTCCAGGAGCAGATGCCAGGGCAACAGGCAGGAGGGCAGGAGGATTGTGACGAGCAGCAGGGCATGGAAGAGTCCCTTGTCCCCCACCAGCTCCAAGAGATTGGAGAATGCCATCGCCGGCTGCTGGTGTCCAAGGTCGGGGCTGCGGCCTTCTAAAAACAGGTGAGTACCGTGCCCCTGAGCCAGCCACCCAAGCAGGACCTGGGTCACCAAGACCTCTGGCCTTCCTGGTCTACAAGTAACCAATGAGGTCAGTCCTCATCACTCTTGTGCTGGGGACAAACTCCGCCTACAGCAGCTTCCAGGCTGTCACCCTCCTTGTCCCGGAGGTGGAGTGGGGGGGTGGGGGGTGGGGGGGGGGGGGGGGAGTGAAAAGGTCAAAGTCTTGGCGTCAGAGCTCCACCATCTCTCCTCCGTTAAAGATCAAGCTGGTTTTTAAATAACATACAATGTTTCAATGTTACTGAATTACAAATTGGGAGAGAAGTCACAATGTAGCTATTGGCTCCATTAAAGTTTAATCCTGAGTGTAGTTTCCCCGGGTTGCAGAAGCTGGATTTCCTGAATGAGTGGCCAGCTGAGTTCCGCGAAATCTTCAATTTTCAGAACTTTCTTGTAACTCAATAAATGATTGGTGTAACATTACCCCATAGGTGTTCTCACTTGAATTTCACTTCCATTAAATCAGAACCGACTCAGAGCTGACCCTCCACCCGGTTTTCAGAGGCTGTAAATCACCCGGGAGGAGACTGCCCATTCATTCATCTCTCAAGGAGTAACTGGTGGATTTGAACCACCAGAGAGGCGCTGTCTCCCTACCAGCTCCATCCAGGGTCTGGGCGGTGCAAAACAGTAACGCACAGGGCTAGTAACCAAAAAAGGTGTTCTGGTAGGTTAGTGGTGAGGAGTCGTGCTGCCCACCCAAAGGCAGGCAATTCAAATCCACCAGCTGTTCCTTGTAAGAAAGAGGACAATCTCCTCCCAGGTGACGTACAGCCTCTAAAAACTTGCTGGAGGGTCAGCTCAGAGTCATTTCAGACTCCATGCCACACAAGAACAGCAACTCCAAAAGGTGGTTCTGTGGGCCTTGCGGGCTTGTGTTGCTAACTCAAGGGGGGGGGGTTGTCTCTCTAGCGGTTCGAATCCACCACCAGCTCCACAGGTGAGAGAGAGGTGATCTCTTCTCATGTGATTTACAGCCTCTGGGGGAGCAGGACAGGCCAGGAATGTGCTCTGTTGTGCACAGGACATTAATAACAATGACCATCTTGATGGACACAGACCACTGGGCCTTGCCTCCTCAGGCCGGCGGGATGAGTGGTGGGGCCAAGCTTTCAGCTCGTCTTGTGCACCGTCCAGGTGATGGCGACTCAGAGTGACCCAGTGCAAGGGAGTCAAACTGCTCCATGGGGTCCTCTGAGCTGCTGTCTTTTCAGGGCACTGCCAGCGGAGTGGCCGTAGGCTCAGACCCCCCAAGTTTTGGGTTAGGAGCTCAGAGTTTAACCATTTCATCACTGAACCCCCAAACCCAAACCCACTCCCAGTAAGTCAATTCCTCCCCCCTTTTCAAGTTTCCCACATCTTTAGCGGAGGAGACTGTCCACCTGCTTCCTGCTGAGGGGCGAATGGATTTGAACTGTTAACCTTCCAGTTATGCACCGTGCTCCCAGCCCCCCTTGCCGCTAGAAGTGCTAACATCTGACCCCAGGGATGAAAACCCCAAGGCGTGCCATTCATGTGAGTGGAGCGTGTGTGTGTGTGTGTGTGTGTGTGTGTGTGTGTGTGGTAGCTGAAGCCCTAACCCATCCCAGGATGGGAAGGGGGTGGCTCTCCAGGGCTCCTGGGGTCCAGTGCACTCCTGACATCCGCTCACCTCCTAGGCAGTGCAGAGAGACCAGTTTGTAGATGCACTATTTCAGGAAGCTTCTATTTCCAGGTTCCAGGTTGTCTCTATGACACTGCAAGCTCCCCCCGCCCCCCCCCCAGGTAGGATCCAAGGCCATGATTGACTGGTGTCTCCTTGGAGTCCCTCCTGAGTGAGACCTGAGGCTGAGGAGGGTGGGCTGAGGAGGCAATCAAGTTATACACCATGAGCTAGGGGGGTGGGGAAGGAGGGCAGCAGAGGGGGCAGCCAGCCCCCACCCATTGCTCCACGTGGCCTGTGCTGCCAGATAGCTGCCCCTACACACACACACACACACACACACACACACACACACCCACACCCCTGCATCATCTAAGGCTGCCCTGGAGAATGCTGCTCCAATCCCCCAGAAAGGGAGCTGAGACCCTCAGTATGTCCTCTGATGTCCTGGGCAGCCCACCGGCTGGAAGCTCACCTCATCTCCTGGACTCAAGAGCTCAGGGCTCGGATCATCATTCGTGCTGGTGGGGGATGTGTGAGATCCTTTCCTTCCACCGAGGTGCTGAGAGGGGCAGTGTGTGGGGTGAGCTGTGTCGTGGGCCTCTGAACCCCAGATTCCAGAACTCTCCAGAGTATACCCAGGCAGGAAGCAATGATCCTGGGCCTGGATTTCAAAGTGGGACACCTTTCTCTCTGCGTCTAGGGCAGGAGAGCAGTGTTTCAGCAGAGATGGAGGGTGCCTGGCCATGCCAAGGCGCAAACCAGATGCAGCTAGTGGCAGGCTGGCCTCCCAAGCCTGGTGCTGGCTTCTGTGATAGGGTCCCCACTGTCTTCACAGGGACCGCTCCTGGCCCATGACCTTGAGCACTGACCTCCCTCGCTGAGCCCCCAGGTACCAGTCTGTGAAATGGAGCTGTAGCCATCCATACTGGTGTTTTTCAAACCTTGGTGTGCTTCAGAAACCACAGTCACATTGGCCAAAATGTAGCTTCCAGGGCCTCTGTTTCCAGGCTGGGCTGTGCCCAGGAACAGGCTTTTAAAGGTAGCAGCCCAGGAGTGCCCCCCCCCCACACTGAGAGTGATGCCTGCAGTGTCCCTGAGTGACAAGGCATGGAGGGGCCCCCAATTCTACCTCCTCCACTCGCTTTAGAAAGCCGTCTCTTCTTTCCTGCCCTTTGCCGGCGTGGATCCCCCCCTTAGCTTTGATTACAGCAGAAGGTCAAACCTCCTGGATTTGCCAGAAGGCTCTCGGAATCTCCAGCTGACTTTCTGCTTCCAGGCCAAGGGATTTTAAAAAAAAATCTGTAATTTTCACTATTTTGGGGGGCACTGCTGGGGGCAGGGCTCAGCGTGGCTGCTCTGCCACCTGGTGGTCACACCTGGGATCGCAGCAGTTCCATCCTGGACCACAGCCTGGGCAGCGTCCACGTGCCCATCCTCCCAGGCTGCAGGCTCCCCCGGCGTTCCCTCCTCTTGCACCATCTCCATCATCTCCACTTCGCTCAAGCACACTGCTGCAGCATCCTTCTCCAGGGTCTGGACCCTATTGTTATTAGAAGCCATCAGGTCTACTACGATTCACAGTAACCTCATAGATTGGGCTCTGTCCCTCTATCGTGCTCTCCAGCTTCTCAGGGTGGGGGTCCTAGCTGTGAAGTGAGCCTTCAGTTCTGCAGGAAGGCGCTGCGAGCTTGGAAGTGAAGCGTACCAGCCCTACCTAGAAGCAGAATCCTGGAGGGGGGGGGAGGGAATGTGAAATTGTTTACTTTTTGTTGTTGTTAGGTGTCATCGAGTCGAGTACAACTCATAGTGACCCTGTGAACAGCAGATCTGACCCCCCTCCTATCCCGTGCCATCTTCACACTTCCTGATACACTACAGCCCGTTCTGGCAGTTACCATGTCAATCCACCTGGTTGAGGACCTTCCTCTCCCTCGCTGACTCTCCACCTTTCCAAGCATCATATCCCTCTCCAAAGAATAGCCCCTCCTAGCAACATGCCCAGAGTGTGTGGGGTGAGATCTCACCATCAAAGGGCACTCCGGCTGCGCCCTTTCCAAGACATATTTATTTGTCCTCTTGGGAGTCTAGGGATGTTCAGTGCTCTTCTCCAACACCACAGCTCAAAGGCATCAATTCTTCTCCTGTCATCCTTGTTTATTGTCTAGCTCTCAGATGCACAGCAAGTGATCTGAAAAACCAAGGCCTGAGTCAGCCACACCTTAGTCCTTAAACTGACATCATTACTCCTTAATAATTTGGAGAGGTTTCTAACTGCAGACTTTCCCAATGCAATACATCTCCTGATTTCCTGACTGCTGGTACCAATTAATTGGTGGGTCCAAGTAGATAATTATAGTAGTGTAGCGATAGAGCCCAGATTGGAAATTATTGAAATGAGGAAAACCAGTGACAAACATAGTTTAATAATTGGAACGTGGAATGTACATAGCTTGACTGTTGGAAAACTGGTAATTGTGAAAAATGAAATGGAACGCATGAGCACTGACACACTAGGCATTAGTGAGATGAGATGGACGAGCTTTGGCCACCTGGAGTCAGACAATCATCCGGCATATTAGGCTGGGAATAAAAACCAGAAGAACGGTGTTGCATTCATAGCCGAAAAAGTCAATTTCAAGTTCCATCCTGAAATGCAATGTTGTGGGTGACAGGGTATTATCCATAAGCATGCACGGAGGACCCGTGAACATGACTACTATTCAACTATACGCTCCTACATCTAGAGTCAAAGAGGAAGAGACTGACAAGTTTTACCAAATTTTGCACTGTGAAATTGACCGTAGATGCAATCAAGATTTGTTAATGACGTGCTAGTGACTCTATTTGTGACCAGTTGGCGACTGGAATGCAAAACTTGGAAACAGTGAAGAAGAAACAGTAGTTGGAAAATAGGGGCTTGGCGATGGAAATTGTGGACCGCAGATCAGTAAATGAGTGCAAATGAGCTGTGTTTGCCTTGCTGACTGGATCACGAGTGTTGCCCATGTGTTCTATACGGCCATTGCAACGAGCTGTCAAACAAAGCCGAGAAATAGAGGTTCCCGTGGGAGGGACCCTGTGTCACAAAGTGTGAAACATGGAGGGAGGAGGCGCCTCTGACCTCTGCCTCATGTTAAAAATCCATAGACTTTAGTAAAAAGTAATCATTTCATCATTCTGTAAATGAATCTTCCAAGGACTTGTGTGGCTTGTAAAACGTTGTCTGGTTGGTTCTGCTTCATGGGAC